CACTGGAAGGACTGATGCTGAAGCTGAAACTCCAATACTTTGGCCACTTGATGCGAACAGCTGACTCATTTGAAAAAACCCTGATGCTGGGAAAGATTGAGGGCAGGAGGAGAAGGGGACGACAGAGGGTGAGATGGTTGGATGGCATCACTGACTCAGTGGACATGAGTTTGAGTGAGCTCCAGGAGTTGGTGATGGACAGGGAAGCCTGGAGTGCTGCAGTCCATGGGGTCACAAAGAGTCAGACATGACTGAGTGACTGAACTGAACTGAACCTGGAGAAAAGAAGAGTACAAGAGACACCCACATCACATATACAAAAGTCTTTCTTTATGGAAGCTGAACTATATTTGTTGACGCCAGAATGCAGAACTCAAGACATTGAGTGCACTGAAGCTTCCAATACACCTTCCCACTGCCCTTACCAGACCCCTCATCTCACGCCCAGGTGGGTGGGACTATTGGCTGCCAGGTTCTCACGGTGGCACCTTTCTGGGGACAACACACACTGCCGATGGTCCCCAAAGCCACTGAGTATATGCTCTGTCCCAGTCACACTATTTGGACCCAAGTTTTTTTTTTATTTTTCATTGGAGGATGATCGCTTTACAATTTTGTATTGGTTTCTGCCATACATCAACATCAATCAGCCATAGGTATACATATGTCCCCACCCTCTAGAAGCTCACTCCCACCTCCCACCCCATCTCACCCCTCTAGGTCATCACACAGCACCAGTTTGAGCTACCTGCCTCATTCAGCAAATTCCCACTGGCTGTTTAACATACTGTAGTGAGTATGTTTCCATGCTACTCTCTTCATTCATCCCAGCCTCTCCTCCCCCCACTGTGTCCACAGTGTGTTCTCTAGGTCTACAAATCTTTCTTGTCCAGCTGGACACCAGTTTTCACACACACAATGATCATCGAAAATCCAGCCCTCCCCCATCCCCCGTACAGCTCTAAATCAGAACTTAAAGTGTCAAAGACTGCAACTTAGAGATAAAACAAATGCCCTAATATACTGATTTTCTCCAGCAGATAGACACAAAAACCAGAAAAGGACATACCAAATATAACACCTGGGAAATAACGGATCTGGAGTTTCTCCCTGTTGGTAATTTTTACATCCCTGAGGCTTTCCTTCACTTGGATAATTTACAGGTCAATGGTTTCCTTTCTCTTCACACACCTCATGTTTGCCTCCTCACTTTAATCAGGGAAAGATGGAGGCAAAAGCAAAGATGTCTGAGCAAAAAGCAGTGGTGAAAAGCACTAGACCAAGATCAAATATTTATGCTGCGGCAAACTAGCTAACTGATTGTGATATCAAAGGATAATAAATCATTTTTAAAAAGGGAGAAAAAGCAATCAATGTGAACAGTATAATTTGCCTTTCATCAGGTGCTGATTTCTTTTTTCTGGTATTCATCTAACAATGATCGTTTCTGACTTTCGTCTCGTTTAAAAATACATTTCATGTCCCTCCCCCCAGGCAGTCAGATGTGCAGTGTTTTAAACAAGGTATTGTGAAGGAGACATCGAATTTCATATTTTGTACCCTGTGAAAAGGAACACATGTAGTTCTCTGTAGCCCCTGTCTCTTTTTCAGTGGTTCCTGCTGTTGTTACGTGATTGAGAAATTGATTGAACTTGGAGACCAGAGCACTTCAAAGAACAACCATGTTCAAATTACAGATTTCAGCAAATGAGACTTATGCAAAATTAACAGTAGTCAAATAGCCAGTATTTCTCATCTGTAGCTCCCCCCACCCCCTCTTCCAAGCCCAAGTGGGCAGCAAGTAATAAATGTAGGTAACAAAAGAAATGTAGAGAACAGGTAATGTAGATTACAAAAGAAAAATGATAATGATAATCTGACACCTCTGCCATTAATGTTTTCTAAAAATCTGCTCTTTCAGTATTTTAAACAGTACCACCCATCTCGGTGCATTTTTAAAAAATTTTATCACTTCAATTATTAATTCTTCAACAAGGTCATACTTAGAAAATAAATTGCCTGAAGGGCAATTTCCAGTGAAAATAACCTAACTCTTACAGAAAGCTTATTGCATGTGGAATTTGGTTTTTCTGATTTTTTTAATGTATTTATAAAAGCTATATCAAGATTTAATTCACATACCACACAATTCAGCCATTTTAAGTATATAATTCAATGGTTTTTACTATATTCAGAGTTGATTTTTTTAAATTTTTTTTTTTAGTAACCTGTCTTGAGTAATTCTATTGTTTTTAAATTGGTCTTTTTGGAGAGACTACCCTAAAGAATTTTTAACCTCATGAAATCTCAACTCAAAGAATCAAATACTGTTTTTCTCCTACCTTGTGGCTTCTTTGTAAATTTTTAGTATTACTTTCGGAAGAATTCATTCCACCAGCTGAAGCCCTCTATGCCTAATGTCAGTACAGAAGTAATTTAATTAGATTATGAAGAGAAGAGGACATCTTCACTCTGAAAAGCATAGTTGGACTTTGCTACCAGAAAATAAAATCTTTGTTTCTCTCAGCTTCCCTTACACACATTTCTGAGCTCAGCTCACTGCAGGCTGATCTTTGTGACTTCACATTTGCTCAAGGCAGGTGATTTACCAGCAGTAGCACCAACATAAATTAATAAAGGAAAAATCTGTATAAAATATCAATGAACCAAGGTTCACTTTACACACTGTGCTATTATGTGTGTGTGTTTGTGTTTTGTATACACACATCACACACACATTCAGTCATTCAAAGCATGGCTCATAAGTCTGATTGTGTTATGGTTTCCTTTTATAAGAGAGAGAATTAAACTTGAACACTTACTGTTCATTCAATTCCTATACATCACTCCTTCTCACTCTAGGCTTCCTGCACCTCTTAGAAAGGTGGGACCCATGAACCTGTATTTTACACAAACTTTCCAGGTGACTCTGATGGCCCAGCATTGAGAAAGCGAGGCTCCTCTGCCACATGCTGAAGACAAGATATTCAAAGCAAGCAGTGAATGGCTTCATGGCTGATACTTAGGGAGACTGATGCACTGGAGTTGAATCCCAAACTGCTATTGTCTGAATGTTTGTTTCCTACCGAAACTCATATGTTGAAATCCTAACTCTGAAGGCAATGGCATTAGGAGCTGGGGTCTTTGTTGTCAGTTAGGACATGAGGGTGGGGCCCTCGTGAATGGGATTAGTACCCTTATAAGAGAACCCAGAGATGCCCCTCACTGCTTCCACCAAGTGAGAATGCAGTGAAAAGTCACCACCTATGGACCAGGAAAAAAACTCCCACTAGAACCCAACCACACTGGTACCTGATCTCAGATTGCCAGCTGCCAGACCTATGAGAAATAAGTTTCTGTTGCTTATATGCCATCCAGCTGTGGTAATTTGTGATAGCAACCCCCAAAGACTAAGACACTAACACAACTTCAGGAAATTCAGAGCACCCGCAGGTAACAGGGACACCTGTCCAATTCATACACTGGAAGCTGTCACCCCTCCTTTAGGCTGGCCCTCTGCCACTGGACTTCTAAGAGAGATGAAGAAGTGCATTTGTCAAAGACGGCCTGTGACTCTCCAACCTGGAAACCAGGCAGGCTTGCATGTTCTTCAACCACAGAGCGGAGTTGATGCTGATGGCTTTGGAGGCTGGGTCATCACAGGTGAGGGAGCCTCTGTCCCAGGTCTAATGGCCCCGAGGCTCCAATGCTTTGAGGGAGCCACACCAGTCCCAGGCACCGCACATGTGCAGGAATGAGCCTTCAGCAGAGTCCAGGCCCTGCATTTCCATCACCACCAACCTTTGTTTCTTCCCAACTGAGATTCCAACATCCTGGAACGCCAACGTGCCACAGAAAGGAGACTATACCTTGTCTGCTTTCCTGACCCACAGAATTCAAGGGTATAAATCACTATGTGTAACAGCAATTTATCACACTTCAGAGGGCCCAGAGCAAGGGAATGGAATACCAAATGACCTACGAACATGATGAGAGCCAACAAATTCTGTCAAAGCCTGGAGAACAGGGTGTTGTCAGCCAGGCCAAGCACACTGTCCTAAAATCACCAGATTCGGGCTGCTTTCTTTCCTCTCTGGTCTAAACAGTACTTCAAGCCCATGGGATCACTCCCAGACAGAAACTGCAGGACAGAAAGAATCAGCAAGCAGCAATAACGGCTTTAATCCCTCGTGTTGGCTGCCAGAAGCCCTGTGAGGGTATGTCTGGATATGCCCTGCTCCGTGAGGAAAGTATGATTTCCTCAATGGTCTGAACATCAACAGAACCCAGGGCGTGCTGAACCCACACAGCAAGGAATGGGACAGGAATTCTTGCAGGCACAATTGGGCTCCAAGGAAAAGGGTAACATGATGCCCTTTACTGTTTTCCCCTAAGAAGAAATTGTGAGGCTGTGGTGCTACCCAGTCATTGCTCTCTGGGGCCTTTTTTGGGGATATAAAACACAAGCTTCTTCCTAATATGTATAGCAACACACTACCAATAGTCCTACCAATGAATATTCAAGGTTGATTCCCTTTAGGATTGACTACCATCATTTAACCTCTGCCAGATGGACTGGGATAAACCATTCCTCCTTAACAGCTCCCAAAATAGCAAGACTGTTCCCCTCTTTCAAAGAAGTAAACAGCTCTGAACAATTTTCTACCACTGTTCTGAGAACTGAGTATTGATCTTCCTCCATCTCAGATAAAATACCTGTCCCTAATCTTCCGTGGTGGCTCAGTGCTGAAGAATCAGCCTGCCGATGCAGGAGACTCAAGTTTGATCCCTGGGTTGGGAAGATCTCCAGAAGGAAATGCAACCCACTCCAGTTATTCTTCCCAGGAAAACCCCATGGACATAGGAGCCTGGCGAGCTGTCGTCCATAGCATTGCAAAGGGGTCGGACACAATTTAGCGGCTAAACAGCAGCAACAATCTAAGGACAGCAACTACGTTTTCTGAGTTTCTGATCTATTCTCTCCCCTACTGGATCTGTTGGAATCATAGGGAAAGAATTCTGGGGTAGATTACTGATGTCTGAAAGGGATGGGGAACAAAAACATAGACCATAGATTTGCTGTCCTGTGTCTAAACTGAAATGAGATAGAAGGCACTATTTTAAAACAGGATTACTACAAAAATCGCTACAAAAGTCAGTCATAAATAAGAAGGGAAAATGTAAACAAATACTGGGGTTTTTTAAAAATATTGTTCTTTTTACATCACCAACACTCAAGGAAAGAAAAAAAATGTGCAAACTGAGCCCATTTTAGTACACTCCCAGATCCTGCTACTGATTCTAGTGGGATTAGAGTTAATAAACCTCTGAGATGGAAGATTAAGTTGAAGTTGCTGGCAATCCCACTTCATTTCATTACAGATTAATATGTACTCACCAAAAGTAACTTTATTACTCTTCTGACATCTTTTATCTAATTCAGAAATGGGCAGTTCTAGCCATGAGACATGTATGCTGCATGCCAATATATTCTGAAGCTGGGCAACCGCCTCAGTGCTGGTTGTGCATGAAACAGGATCTGTGCTTGGCTCTGCTCTGTTTTAGGGCCACCTGCAGCTCAATAACAGCCTAGAGTTGCTGACCTCAGCCCCTGAGCACTCAAGTCTCCAGAATGAGCAACAAACTGGCCGTGCTTTAGGCAAGGAAGTTTAGGAGACCTGGATGTTGTGTATGCATGCTTCCTCACTCGTGTGTGTGCATGCTGTCGCCCAGTCGTGTCCAGCTCTTTGTGACCTATGGACTGTAGCCCACCAGGTTCTTCTGTCCATGGGATTCTCCAAGCAAGAATACTGGAGTGGATTGCCATTTCCCTCTCCAAGAGATCCTCCTGACCCAGGGGCCGAACCTGGGTCTCTTGCACTGCAAGCAGATTCTTTATCACCTGAGCTACCAGGGAAGCTCTTGACCTGGATGTTAGATGAATTCTTTCCAGCAACATTTTCTGTGGCAATGATGTTCTATTATCTGCCTATCAAATAAGATACCCCATGTGCTTATGGAGCACTCACTGTGTGGCTAATGCCACTGAAAAATATTAATACATTAACTTTTATTAACATAAATTTAAGTAGCCACAGGGTGAGTTTGGTCTAGTGATTTAATTTCTCCAGCCCTCAGTTTTACAGACCTCCCAAATCCATCCACTTCTCTTCGTCTCTCTGCCAGCCCTCTCCTCCTCTAATGCAAACTATTCTGGCTGTTCCTACCCAGGATGGACACCATGGCCTTGTTACTGAGTCCAAGCTCACTCTGCTTGCTGCACAATAGGCCAGTGAATCCGAGAGACGAAGTGTTGAGGCAAGGAAAACGACAAACGACTGTATTCGGAAAGCAAGCTGACCAAGAAGATGGCAGGCTAGTGTCTGAAAATAATCATTGGGATCTGGATGCCAGATTCTTTTACAAATCAGAGATGGGGGAGGGATGGGGGAGTGGAGAGAAAGCAAAGTAAAAAGGCCATCAGTCTTGCAAACATCTCCTAGAATGGCAAGCCTCAGGCAGGAGATGTGTTAATTTCTTCCTTCCTGCCATCCACAGGTGGACAGGGTTTTGAACAAAGGCACTTTAGTTTAAGTCAGTCAAAGGGGCAGGATTCTGTGAGGCAAACCATTCTGTATGATTATAACAACAAAAGCAATGAAAAGCAAGTCAAAGAAACTGCTCCCACATAGAGTCAGAATTGGTTTCCTCCCTGCCACAACAGCCTCCTAATTAACCTCCTTGCTGAGTGCGGATCGTGAGCATTAATAAAAATAAAAATTGAACTAAAAAATATCTGTCAATGGCTTCTCAATGCTTTCCAAATGAAGCACAATCATCAAATTGGCCAGTTGACAAAGTCCTGTGTGGTTTTCTCTGTCCTACTTTCCCAGCCAAAATCTCATGTTGAGGCCCTTTTCATCTGGGTTTCAGCCAATCTGTCCTTGTCCCTTAAAACTCTATGCTCCTGCCTGCCCCAGAGCTTTTGTACATTCTTCCTTTCCCATTCCTTGCCCTCCCTCACCTTCCCCCTCGCTCTCTGCCATATTCACCCTTGCACATCCTTTAAAACTCAATTCAAGCAGTACTTCTCCAGGAAAGCCTCCAAGACTTTGGTTTCAGCCATGCCCAGACTTCTGGGATCTTAGTTCCTCTACGAGGGATCGAACCCAGGCTCTTGGCAGTGATAGTGCAGAGTCCTAACCACTAGACCACCATGGAGATCCCCAGGATGGACTTTTTTAAACTTCTGGAAAGAACCCAAGCAACACATACTCAGCAAGGTGATAGCAGGAGACACAGCTGCACCCGCCCAGCCCAGCTCTCCCCTCCCTGGGAGGGCCCCCCCTTCCCTGCCGCCCTGCCCCTCCCCCNAGGTGATCTTCCTGACCCAGGGATTGAACCTGCATCTTCTACATTGCATGTGGATTCTTTACAACTAAGCTACCTGGGAAGCCAACTATGGTACCTATGTGTTACAAATGGCCTCTTCTGTGGCTCTGGCAGATTCCAGTCTAAGGACTGGTCAGTCCAGACTGCTCTTCCAACACCCCCACAGTGGAAGGCAATGCTTCCAGCCTCCTCTTGTTAGCAGCTCATTTACACTTGGACAAGCCTGGTGATTCTTCTCCCCCACCTCCCTCACCCATGCTTTGTATATTATTAAAATTAAATCATCTCAATGTCTGGACTGAGAAACTTTTACTTTTTTCCTCATTGAAATCTATTTTGAAACTGATGGATGTGTGAAGAACATATGCAATGTAGATCAGCCTCAGAATGACTGATTTTTCATAATTCTGAGAAAAAGAAATTATTGCCCTTAGAAGGTGTCATCTATCTGCATACAATTTGGGTTAGAAAGAAAACGTCCTTATCAGGACATTATTATATAGCTCTCAACCCAGCACCAGGAAACAGTGTAATTTGAGACAGACAATGAGTATCATCAATGCCATGAATTCCACGTAATTGTATTTCATTGAGAAAAAGAATGTGTCTCCTTGTGCGTCTTCGGGTGGGGGGAGGCAGGGAAGAGAAGGACTTCGCTGTACCATCTGGACTGTCAGAATAGAGATGAAAAATAACACAGCCGCTCACCCGGCCACTGGAAATGCAGTCACATGTTCAGAAATGCAAAATATGAACACAATTAAGCTAAGGTAAAAAGAAATCAGTCTGACAGCTAGTTTTTCTCTTCAATCCAGCCTGCCCTGATTGAGCTCCTACTATGGGCCAAGGGTTGTGGCAGCTGCCCGGCACATTCACTGCCCTCCTTGAATTCCTTCCTCCAGTCTTTGTAACAGAAGTCAAGAATCAACGAGCCTGCAAGTAAGTGACAGAGCCAGGATTTGAACCCTGTCTCCCAAGTTTGATAGTATGACTCAAGGGACTGGAAGAGGTTCTAGCTGAATTAGTAAAGAACTGGCTCATCGAGCTGAAAAGTCTAAGGGTAAATGCTTCGGGCATGGCGGGATCTAACGACAATGATCAGGCTCAAACGACGTGATCAGGATACTCACCGCCTCTCAGCTCCACTTCCTCTGTGTGGGCTTTTTTCCTCAGGATAGTTCATCCTGTGTGGCAGCCTCTGAAATTCCCAAGCCTAAAATCCTCACAGCTCAGTAACTTCAGCCATTATTAAAAGTGGTTTTTACATTTCTTTCTCTCTGTACTGCTGCTGCTAAGTCGCTTCAGTCGTGTCCGACTCTGTGCGACCCCATAGACGGCAGCCCACCAGGCTCCCCCATCCCTGGGATTCTTCAGGCAAGAACACAGGAGTGGGTTGCCATTTCCTTCTCCAATGCATGAAAGTGAAAAGTGAAAGTAAAGTCACTCAGTCCAACNCCCCACGGACTGCAGCCTACCAGGCTCCTCCGTCCATGGGATTTTCCAGGCAAGAGTATTGGAGTGGGTGCCATTGCCTTCTCCTCTCTCTGCACTAGTTTCTAGGAAAAGCCTCAAGACTCAGTCTCCTTAGCGCAGCTTGGAACCCGTTGCTGAAGCGTAGGCCGTTGGGGGCCGGAGCAGGCAGATGAATGCTCTGATTGGCCAGACTTTGGTCATGTGCCCAACCAACCCCCAAACTGTGAGTGAAGAAAGTCGAATCTTTTAAAATGTGTAGCAATGAAGATCAAGGTGTCCTTCCCAGAACAAGGATTAAGAGGGCACCAACGCACAGTCGTCACCTCCCACACCCAAAATTCTATCCTCTTACCCTACCCTTAAAGCTCCTACCATGCGCTAACACTATAGTGTAAATTGGCTTATTTCTGCAAAGGCACATTCTTATCAGCATATCCTGGGTACCCAGAGGAGCACCTGGTACATAGGAGCTGTGGAATATTTGCTCAGTAAAAGAATGAATGAATCAGAAACACCAAACCTGCCTCTCAACTAAAAGGGTTTATGTGATGGGGCCTCTTCGAGGGGAGGCTAAATGATCAGGACACCCACTAAGTGCTTAACAAATGTTCAGCACCTGTGCATCCAGGCAAGCAGAGAACAAGCACCCACTCCCATGCCCCCAGCAGGCAGCAGATGGATAAGAACACCTGCCCCAGTGGATTGGGAGGAAGCCCCACTGGTCCCCCCAGGAAGGGGACCTGCCACTCACTACACAATCCCTGAGGCTTCATCATTGACCGGAGACATACTGTTACTTGGACATTTTTGACTGATGTATCAATATGTTCTTAGAGAGTGATACAATTAAAAGCACTGTGCAAAGTTGTTAGAGCTTAAAACTG